CCCCCCCCGCCCTTTGTTCGTCGTCACAGTGAAAGAAGACCATGGTTCCTGGTTTCTATTTACACAGGCAATGGAGCTTCGGATCACACCTCAACTCAAATGGGTTTTCTCAATACTCTCATATCTCCCCTCCATTTCATCAACCAGCTCACAATACTTCTCCATGTGAGTACCCACCTCTCTCTCTCCATCCCCCCCCTCCCCCCATGTGTGTGCGTATTCCTTTTATCGTATACCGGTTACTTTAATCGCTATTTCACTTGTTCTGTTGGAATTAAAGTTCGGGAAAATTGTATAGAATAATTGAATATCAGTTCTTAGTTTTGCATTTCCCCTCTTCGCTGCAGAGAGCGAGAGAGAGAGAGAGAGAGAGATTTGAAGGTTGTATTGTAATTCCAGTAAAGTTTTGAAGGTTGTATAGTAATTCTAGTAGTACACAAGTATTTAAACATGTATTTGGTTATGGGAATTGACTGATATGCGCATCTGAATTTTCATAAAGGAGGACTCGAACACGCCTGTATTTGGTGGGTCTTTCTCGAATTGTCTAAATAACAGCTGTTTTTTTGAAAATTCACGGTTCTCCCTTTTTCATTTGGTATGAATTCAATATTTCAATGGCTTACTTTTCATATTTGGCAAGATGGGGTGGTTATTGAAAGAATGGCGCCTGACTTTAAAGAGAAGGTGCAAACTTTTTGTAAACAATTGAACTCAGATGCTATAAATGTTTTTTACTGTTATTTGTAATTTGGAATTGAAGCTGGTTTATTCATGACATTTTGGGGAAATCCTCTGTATTTCAGGAAAAACTGATGGGGTCAAACCCATCTGAGACATCTTGCTTTTTGTTTTCATGAACTCTCCTTCCCTTAAAATACCAGGGCATTGCTCATATCTCTAAGAAATCAGGAGAATTATTTTAATTTTAATAATCTTCTTTTCCATGCTTAAATTCTCATTATACGCTGTGGATAGTTATTTTTATTCTTTTAGGAGCTTCTAATTTGGGTTATATCTTTCGCATGAGCAATTTTGATGTTGCGAGATCTGGGAATTAAGTACCTTTTACGGTGAATAAAGCTTGTTGATGCTGTTGGGCTTTGTCGAACTCAAGACTTAAGCTTTCAATTTTTCATTTCCTCGCTGTGTAAATTGTGCCAAGTTGAACTTATGGTGTCAAGTTTGCTTAAAGCTTCTATTGAAGTTCAGCAACATGCAATCCAGAATTTATCCTGTTGTTGACGCTAGCGTCCCATTCTGTTTTTACAAAGGCCTGATAACGTCCCATTCTGTTTTTACAAAGGCCTGAAAACGTCCCATACTGTTTTTAGAAAGGCCTGATCATTTCAGCCTTTTCCACTCCATCTGAATTGGCCTTTTTTTCATTTGAAGGATAAATTCACATTTAGCAAACTCAAAAATGTTCTGTGATTTGCACTTCTTTCAGACTCTTCAGTGCCGTACAGGCATCAACTTACCTTTTTTAGTTCCATATTTCACTAAACCATCAACTTGATGTGGCATCTTCTACTTAATTTGAATGAACTCATGTACTTCTTTAAACTCTCTGTGCGAGCATTATTACACTGTACCAACAAGCAATCACTATTTTTGTTTCTTCTTTTGCCATAAGACATACTAGGCATACTAGACTCAACGGAAATTGGCCAATAGTTTGGCTTTTATCTTGCAAACTAGCCCAAATGTGTAGACACTAGGACCCAGGATTATCCCTCAAAACTCTCTCAGTTAGGGAAACTTCTCCCTCATTCACAATCACCTAGTTATCCACACAATTGATTGATAGCTCTCTAGTGGATTGGATTACAATCAAACACTGCTCTATCACCACTTCCATCTCTCCTATATGGACACATCTAACGAGCCATGAACTCCGGCTAGTCTTAATTGACCTCCCTCCTAAGCTTTTACGAACTAAACTTTTGTTCTCTGCTCTCCAAGTAAACATCTTCTGAAAGCTTTTTCCCAAACCACCTTTTCCTTCATCTAACCATAACTCCAGTCCCTTTCCAAGCACCTAGGCAACCATACATCACAATTTGGAATACATAATTGATCATCATATTGAGATGTAAAATTTTGTTTCAATATTCATCAAATGCTATTTCCACCATTACTTTTGTAAGATTTCAGTTTTGTGAATTTTACTTGGTCTGTACCCTGGTCAAAGAAAGAACATTGAGGATGGAGATCAATACCACCGGACAAACCAACGAGGAAGAAATTTGGGTACCCAACCATTTTTGAAATCCCCCTCTAACTTCCTTCTCCATATCCTCATTTTTACCCACCAACATTCTAGCATGCTTATAGAGAAAGTTGTATATTTTACCTAAATTAGCAAGAAGTCACTTATCAGAAAAGGAGAGAGAGAATGTCCCACTTTTTTGGAATGCATTTAATAATTGAATTTATCCTTTTTTTTTTTTCTATATATCAATTTGAAATCAAATTTTGTGCATCCATAATTATCATCATCACACATTCTATAAAAAAATATAAAAAATAATTGACCAAAAATAAAACAACCAAAACATCCGTAAAATTTTAGGGATACTTTGATCATTATAGTCAATTTGTTATTTACTATTATTGTTTTCAATTTTTTTTACAGGTGCATAATGGTGAGAAATGTTGGACATCCAATATTTGAGCTTAATTCGATGTATAGAAAAATATTACCATTAAAATACAAGAAATGCTCTAGAAAAGTGAGACATAAGTGTAAAATATGAAATATTGGGGACAATATTTAAATTCCACAAAATAGAAGGGATATTTATTTAAATTTCTAGAAATCAGCTGAAATGCTTATCTTTCCTGGCCAAAGCGAAGAACCCACCTGTAACGAATCTGATATAACATTGGCACTACTTCCACCCATGCATGATATGCAAGCATACTTACACATGTTCCTTCAATCATGTCTATGGTATACATCAATTTGTCCCTCAAATAGATCCCTAAAACAGATGTAGAAGTTAAGACTATAGTTAATTTGAGGTGATCAGCTAGCACAACTACTTGTATTCTTGTTTCCAAATTTGTGATCCTTGTTTAAACATTAAATGTTGAATATCTCTCATGCATACCAGACTAACACACCCAAAACAACTAACTATTCTCATTATTGCAGATATTTGCTTGTGATAGATTTGTTATAGGCATAGGCTGACATTTATTAGTAAATCCTTTTATTGGATCACAGCATTCAACTGCTGGTTTCTGATTATCCAATGTTATGGTGAAACACAAAGCAGTGAAAAGCAAGCAGCCCTCAATTGAATCAGCAAAAGCGTCGACCCTGTCAGTCATCCCTGAAGAGACTGAAAGACTACTCGGTGATTGCACGAAAGATTTCCCATATTTCTTTGGAGACATACAAAATGCAAATAGCAGCCATGACATTACTGAAGAGATGAAGGTTAGCCTTCTTCCAATGCTGAAATTGCTAATCCATCATGGCAATACTCAATACAAGTGTGTCTCACTATAATTATCATGAAGATCTCTTTACTTCCTCATAGAAGATTTAGGTTTTACTCTCTCCTTGTATTGGATTTTGAGTAATTATTTGTTCTGTGTATTGTTTCTTAAATTTTATGAACCATTATTAATGTGTTGGTGTTTTCTGCTAATTTGTTTGGTATAGGCGTTAGGATTATTCTTTCTTTTCCTCTTGCTGAGTGGTATTTAAAATGCAATAGTTGATGAAATTTTTTATTTTGCTTCAGATGAATATCAATAAGAATAAGCCCGATGCGTCCCTATATGTGATTGACAAGGCAGAACTACCTATAGCTGAGGATACATTTTCTAATGTTGCTGGTTTACCACACTTCAGTTTCTTATTTGAAAACCTTGAGAAAATCGAAGGCATCATAGTTGATTCAGGCAATGCAAGACTGGAGAGAGAAATACTGTTGCACATAGAGAGGCTCGGAGCATTGAAATTATTCCATGCTTTTCTATCTAGGACCCTAAAAGATCCCAAAATTTTAGATGTTACTGGAACATGTCCTGAACATGCAATGGTTCAGCCCATGGATGAGCAAGCAGATGGTTACATTGTTTCCTCTGGTAAAAAGGTGGAGAGAAAAGCTCAAAGAGAGAGAGCTTTAAAGAAGGTGACCGATGAGCCCATTGTGTGCTCTTCTTTGAAAAGAGTTAAAAAATCAACTAAATCTATCAATGCAGCCTTGACCCATAAGGGTCATCCTGGAAATTCAAAATCCAGAAGCCATTTGAGAGCTCAAAGTGAAGTGGAGATGTCAAGAGGGGTTCAGGTAAATTTATATATATGGTCAGATTCTCTATTAGAACTAGGACACCCACTTCAAAATAGGAAATAAAGATTGGGATTATAAATAAATTTTAGGGTTTTTGAAACATAGGAAGTTGCAAAATTGGAAAAGATTCGTGCAAATTTGGAAGAGAATCTTGGACGAGATGCAAGTTTTTCTGTGTGGGCAGAGGCAGCCGGAATCAATGAGAAGGTGTTGAAGCAGCAACTGCATTTCGGTTGGTTCTGCAGAGATAAGCTTCTAAGAAGCACCCGTCCCTTGGTTATGTACCTTGCAAAAAGTTACAGGGGAAGGGGGATCGGCTTTGAAGATCTACTTCAGGTTAACATCGATAGTTAATTGATAATCTGTTCTCTTTTTATGTTTATAAACTATTTCTGCAAGTTCAAATTCTTGATCTACCAAAAGAAAATATGGAACCTAGTATACTTCTCTGTTCTTACAGCTAAATAATACTTGGTACTTCTATGGCTAAATAAATTTGTCAACTATAAAGTTTTGGTGGCTGTGGAAGGTTTTAACAGATGTGAGAGAGATGAAAAATGCCTCAAAATTGAAGTGTTTCATCTGTATAACCTTTCTGCATTTTCCAATTCTTGGAACCTATGGTACCCAGTAAGCATCTCTCATGGCTAAATTATATTCACTTATTTCTATTGCCAAATAATTTTTATTAGCGGAAAAAACTCTTTGGTGGCTTAGAAAGGTTTTGGTTGACAGTCTTGAGCCCAATGAGAAACATTTAAAATATTAGGATTCAGAGTCTCAAACGGAACCATTTTCTCATCCAAGTTTGGGCACCCCGTTTCTCAGAAAAAAAGTATATTTCCAAATTTCAGCCAGTATGTGTGCGTGTGCCATTTGTTGTGTAAGGAGATAGATTAAAATAGCTAAAGCACACACCTATGTATCTCTTTTAGGCAGGGAGCTTGGGTGTTCTTCAAGGTGCTGAGCGGTTTGACCACACAAGGGGTTATCGTTTCTCTACCTATGTCCAGTATTGGATCAGAAAATCTCTCTCTGCATTGGTGGCACGGCACTCCAGGGGAGTCCAGATTCCTGTATGCATCCTTTTCTTCAAACTTTATTGCGGTAAAGTTACCATAATCTAGTTATGGTATTTGCTACTCCAAAGGGACATCCACAATCTGTTCCTAATGATGAATTGTGTAGATTAACTATACCTAGGTGAATATCCTAATGGATCGCACTTCAATTAATCTCCATTGTCTACTGTTAGAGTGTTTAGTAAATGCATCTTTGGAGTATCATAAACCATATCCTATTAGATTATTGTATGCTTTCCCTTTTAGTTATTTTTTCAAAATTGTATGATGGAGTTTCTTGACATTTGTGCTGCCTTCGCAGATGGCCTTGAACAAGGTATTAAACCAAACTGTCAAAGCCAAAAGGGCTCTTCATCAGATGCATGGAAGACACCCGAGGGAAGTTGAGATTGCAGAGTTCACCGGCTTGTCACTAGTTAATGTAAGATTGGCAAACAAGTGCTTGAGAGTTCACGGTTCCATTGATCAGAGAATTGGTGACAACTGGGGTGCAACGTATATGGTATGCTACCAAGCCTCTTCTTAGATGACATCATCTCCATTTGTCCATCTTAAGCATCCTCTCTCTTTCTCTTTCTCAATAAATAATATTTGATTGATTTAGAGCTCCTTAAAACTTCCAAATCCCCAAGTTCCATAAATCCCTAGGTTTGTAGCATCATTTGTGTGTGTGTGTGCACGTGTGTGTGGATATCCGAACCTTAAAACGTTAAATAACCTCCAGATCATCCTCCTTCAATTAATATTTGATTGATTTAGAGCTTCTTACAAGTTCCAAATCCCCTAGATAGACTGTCTAGATCTCATTTCGAGATGATGGTGGATATGGGAGCCCCAATAAAATATTTTGATTGTAAATGTTCCAAGATTCAATATTGCGAGATGTATGGACACTTTTTTATTTTTAAATTTTATCTATGAATCTATTTAACTCCGCCTTGACCGGCTAGGCCGGCCCCTTGCCGGTTCTAAGCCTAGGTAAAGGAGGAGGGTTTTGTTAGGTAGGCAGCCATCATAAAACTTTGCCGTAATTTTTCATGAATCCTGAATCTACGTTATCTGCTCATGCTAGGGCATTCCCATAAGCAAGACTTATGGTCTTATTGCGAGTATGGCCCTTGATAGAGCAGAATGGCAGAACAAGATTTGTGTTGTTGACCTCAAATAGTTAGGATGAGGCTTTGATGATGATGATGATTTGTGAATCAATTTGGCCAACCCCAAAATAATTGGGATAAGGTTCTGATAATGATGATATTCTTCGAGTCTAATTGACCTAAAATTTTGGGGACAAATGTGCTTGACCTACGCATACCTAAAAAAAAAAAGTACACAACAAAAATGACAAATTATCCACACCCTTATTGGTGAATATTATAGAGATATCATGGTATTTTTTATTTTATTTTTTTATTTTGGTTCTCCTAGGCAGGCAAAGCATGCCCCCAAATTTTCAGCTCTATCAAATTATTTAAAAGATTACAAATCAAATAGTGAGCCAACAAGATGACCACCAAATTGGCCCAGATTCAATATGGGTTGTAGAAATTGGGCTGATAGTATTCCACCTGCTAGTTAGTTGACAGAAGTAAATGGTGATGTTAGAAAACCCAGATTCAAATGGTTTACCCCGTTATCTAATCTGAACCGACTGGCGGGAACACCAGTTAGTGCTGTACAGGTGGACCATACGATCATAGCCATCTATACACACATGTATAACAGTCATTGAAAATAAGCAGTAAGAAAAACAAACAAATCTAGATACTAAACAGCAAATAGGACAGTATTATAAAATGATGTGTGTGTGAGGGAGAGAGAGAGATAGAGAGTATCTTATTCCAATGGTTGAATCAACTGATACTAAGATATAATGTTGATACACGTTGTTAGTGAAAGAAAAGATAAAAATTGCAAGACTGATTACCAGAAGAAAAATTAAATTCAGGCCATAAAAGGGCCAATGAACTGGGAAATTAGTTGCACCTTGTAGGCCATGTTAGAAAGTACTTCTGTGTTGGTGAGTGATATTTTTAGGGGAGAAAGGCCTCCAAGTGTTTCCCATGAATTGTTTGGTACTTCAAATAATTTTTAGTTACACTTTTTAATATGTTACTACTTTTTTTTCTCCTTATGGAGAATATTTTTAGTATTCTTAAGAAAATACAAAAACTCAATCAGCCCAATCATCTGTGCATGTGGCACACAGTCAAAGTTGGTCATGAGCTCTCATCATGCATGATAACTTATCCCATGCAGGAAGTAACAGCTGATACATTCATTGAAACACCTGAGAAAATGGTTATGAAGCAGCATATGAGAGAAGCCATCCATGAGGTCTTGGTCAATTTGCACCCTAGAGAGAAGCAGGTATTGATGCTGAGATATGGTCTTTGGGACGGTAGATGCAAGTCGCTTGAAGAGATTGGAAGGCTATACAATGTAACCAAAGAATGGATTAGAAAGATAGAGAAAATGGCTCTGGAAAAGGTTAGGAAGGAGGAAGTCCAGTGCAATCTAAACTTCTTTCTAAACTCATAACTGAAAGGATATGATATTCTTTTGGGATTTTCTAAACCTCCACAATGAAACATTCAAGAATTTGGAGGAACCATTTGATAGTATTAGTATCAATGGGAATGTTTTGCACACAAAGAAAAGAGTCCATTTTCTCATTGCAAGGGAAATGATTTCCAATGGAATCCGAGGACTTGGAAATGAGCAATCTTTACGAGGAAACCTTTGGCAATCAACATATGCAGGGGAAGTATTCCTTGCAGGAAAATGCAAAGAGATTAAGGTTCTATGCTATGCCTAGGATTCTGAGAGTCAATTATGCTGATCTTAACTGATGGCAGGTTCCCCATGTAAGTACAGTGGATTTCTATACTGCTCATTTCAATTTTGAGCTCTTTGTTTCCATTGAATTTTTTAGTGCATTTGTACTGCTATATATGTATAATGCTTGGCACTTTTCTCATTACTTGGAGTGAGAAAGGACGCACAAGCACTAAATTTTTACAATGAGATTGGTTTGCTAGGTACATAATGAAGTTTCGACACAAATGGCCATTATCGGTGACAACACAAGTACTTGTCTAATTGCATCCAATCTCTTGTGCCATGAAAAGGTGAGCATATTACAGGGGATTCTCACTTTATAAATGGTGCAATTGATGATATTACATATCAAAAGTGAAAGTTGATTGCGCTTCAATGTAGGGCTTACATCCCGGAGTCATTTAGATCTGTACTTGTTTTAACCAGGTGATGTTCCTTAACTAGTGTAAAATCGCCAATAGAAACTCAGACAAATCTCTCTCTCTCTCTCTCTCTCTCTCTCTCTTTCTTTCTCATTCACATGCAAGTGTGCAATGCCACCAGCCAAACACCAACCAATGCATGATGTATGGCCCTCTGTAGGGATGGTATACAAAGAGACCATTTATCTTTTGTACATAGAGGTCACAATTATTTTTGTCCAAAAAAAAATTCTTGTACTTCGTGACTAACCTCAAACTTTCCAATTTGATATCTAATGAGTGGGAATGATTGTGACCTTCATGTAAAAAAGATAGTGAAAAATCCCAAGTTGAGATGTTGTGCATATATATATATATATGGCTTCTATATGCAGCAATACCCATCCAAACCAAACGATTGCTGGACCGTTGTATTTATTTTGATGGGTTTTGAGAAATTAAATATTTTTAAGCTTTTTTGTTTTTTGTGACTTTGTAATCTAATACGGGAAATGTGTTGTAAAAATTGTAAACCTTAGACCCCACATTGTGGCTTCCGATCACCTGACCACCCGTGTCTACGGCCCTTTTTAGATGGAATAATCGAGAACAATCAATTCATGATCAGGAAAATTATTGATGCATGAATTTGTCGTCTTCTATCAAAAAATATTATTTCTATGATGAATTGCTTATAAAAAATGATCCATTTAATAAAATTTTCCTTTTAAAACTAATTCAACAATACTCCTTTGTAGTTGGGAAATTTATGTGTAAGTCCTATTTTTATTTTTTATATTTAAAAATCATCATCATCATCGGCATCATAGTTTTATCTCAAATCAAGTTTAGCTACATGAATCGTGTTATGTTATTTTTCTCTATCAAGGATCATACCCTCGGTAAGACTATAAATCATTATATACTTTTTTACTATTTTCATCCATATCTTTTTGGCATTCCCTTTGCCCTTTTAGAGCCTTCTACTTGAACCAAATCGTACCTCATAATCAGTATTGTATTAGGTCTACGCTGAACATGGCTAGCGCTCCTAAGTCTACTTTCCATCATCCTATCGCCTATTGAAGCTACACCTACAAAACTTTTCCTTCAGTTTTATTGGTATGTGGCAATCATATAAAACGTGGGATCCACATCTCTACTTAACCCACCTAGCATTAATTTTATGTGTGATATCTTCCTCAATATATAAACAATAATCTCTTTCTTAGCCATCAATCTTAACTAATTCTTTGTTTCTACTCATATTATTATTAAACTTACATTCCATATATTTTGCCGTAGTCTGGCTAATTTTAAAACCTTTTGATTTTGGAGCATCCTTTCAAATTTTTAATTTATCTTATAGGTACTTGGTTAACTCGTTCATAACCAAAACAAAAGAGGTATGTGTTTAGCGTTGACCTCCGATGTAGGCCTATTATCATTGAAAATTCACTTGTCCCTCCACCAATTGTTCTCACACTAGTTAGCGCTCTTTCGTACATATCTCTCACTATGTTAATATAACCTCCAAAAACTTTTTTTATTTTCCATCACCCACCAAATTAAATCTGTAGTTGCCTTATTATATACTTTTTGTAAATCAATAAAGATCATGTGGAGGTCTTTTTATAAAGACCATGTGGAGGTCTTTTTCCTTCTTTCTAAAATTTTTAATCAGTTACCTAAGTAGGTAAATGCCTTAAGTTGTCGACCTCTCAATTTCATGTATTTCATATTTTACCATAAGTCCAGCTTTTTATAATATAAAGTGCATTTTAATTTTAACTCTTTTTCTGTTGATAGATTAAGCTCAAATTTGATATGAATATACTTCTCTCTATCATACATATAAGATTATTTAAAAGATAAAATAGATAAATTACTAAACTACCCCTAAATAGTATAGTGGTAATTCGGTAATTTTATTTTAAATCATTTTCTTTGTATGAGTATGAAAATAAAAAGTATGGACATGTCAAATTTGAGCTGAATTGATGTCTAAAAAAAGATAAAATAAAAAGGTATGGTTTGTATAAAGATAAAATTAAAGGGTGTAGTTTGTATAAGGTTGCAATCTTAAACAATCCAAGGTTTGTATAAGGGTGCAATCTCAAACAATCCAATTAAGGTGCACCTCCAAATTTTATCACAACATATAATTTTGGTGTAAAAATTATTAAGATTATCTGAAATCGATTTTCATCCCTAATTATAAAATTTTGAATTCCAAATATGGTTAAAATCAAGTAGATCTATACATAGTTGAAAATCTTGAAAATGGACGGTCTAGATAATATGTAGCAAGATACACTTTTTTTGGGACTCAATATATATATATATATATATATATATATATATATATATACACTATCTAC